ACACACACACACACACACACACACACACACACACACACACACACACACACACACACACACACACACACACACACACACACACACACACACACACACACACACACGTACACACACACACACAGCCTTTTCAGTGCCAAGTTAAACTGCTAACAACCACAGCAGCCTTACTCTTCACCATGCTGATGTGTCATAGCTGGTTAACGAGTATTGTTTGAAGCTATGTTTGTGTACAAAAAACACTCACCCATATATTCAAAGATGAGGTATATGTCTTTGTCATTTTGAGCTCTGACGACGTCCAGAAGTCGGACGATGTTGGGATGATCGCCAAACTCCTGAACACAGAATTTAGATTTTTAGTTACAGAAACCAGACACATAGAAAGCCAGGGCTCTGGCTACTGTTGTTTGACCCATAATAACTGGCATAATAAATAATAATAAGGGTAAAGTATTAACAGAGGTTATATAATGGTCACTATAAACCCCATTAGTATAACACTGGAATTTCATTGGAAGATGACAACAGCTGATTAGCGGGCAGAGGTACGGTCTAAGGTCACATGAATGTAGGTCAGCGGATTAAGAATTAAACAGGAATGTGTTGATATAAAGCCATGTTAGACACGTACATTGTTGCATTGTCAATCTCCTTCAGGATAACAATAAAGTTGAGGTTTGTTACTGTCCATTGTTTAACACGCCGTACCAGCAGTGTCGTTGCTCAATGGTTTTCACACAGTTAACTGAACAGCTGCAAAATCGGTTTAGAAACCTTTCCAGCTTGTTGATAAAGCAATGAACTGTGATGAAACAGTCACGGAAAAATAAACTCTGTATGCCAGAGTAGGAGGGGCCATGGTACAACTACTGTATCAGTGGAACAGACTTTTAACTAATGCAGCTATTTTACCTGTAAAAGTGTTTGTAAAAAGGAGTATAAAGGGAATTTCCATTTTGTTGTGGGGGTATGTTTTTTGCAGAATTGGCGATGGAGCGCATTCACTGACTAAGCAGTAAGGAGCAGTAATCTGAGACACAATCACTGTTTATCATGAAGTGTCCCCAATATATTGTACATTATGAAAGAAACTGGACAAAGACAGATATTATGGAAACCAAATGTCGAGAAGTGGGGCTGAGATTATTAACCTTACAGTCTTTGGGATTTGAATTAAGACAGTCAGTTGATATGTGCTTCACAACTATTATTGTTACCTGGAGGAACATGATTTCCCTGAATGTCCGCTGCAAAAGGAAAGAAATTACAATTAGGATATGAAATCTGAAGCAACACGCAGCCATAAACTAGGCACACACAAGCCTCTTCTTCTGTTTAATCATTAGCCAAACTCGTCTTTCTATTGAAACAGGCAAGGGAGCAAATTTGGGAAACACTGCGGGACAATTATCAAAAAAAGGGAAAAAAAAAGTAATTTGCTATACACAAAATGATTTGAATAAAGTTAAAAGGTTACAATAATGACTTTACTTCACTGTCACTTATAGCGGACACATCAAGCACACACCTGGGCATCTGTCCTGTTCCTGAAGGCATCAAAGATCTTCTTCACAGCCACGATCTCTCCCGTCTGTCTGTCAACTGCTTTCCATACGATGCCATAGGCCTGAGAGAGATACAACATACTGGTAACATATCAGGTCACATCAGGTCACCTCTTCTACATGCAATAGGTGGCTTATATTCTGTGACGTGTTAATATCATTTTACATGCAGGATGTCAACCAGGCACAAAAATATAGAAAACTAAATTGGGGAAAAACTGGTGTCAGGGCTGTAGCAGGAATTAAGAAATACTGAGGTCATAAGTCAATGCAGCTGCTCCATCTCCAGGTAATAGAGATCTGAAATTCTGCAACATTTGCTAATAATTTAGAGTATTCTATTCCCCTATGTTGAATTAATTTAACTGTCATATCTTTTTCGGATCCATTTAAAATAGTTGTAGGCCCAAGAGGTTGCCTACATGGTTGTATTTTTCCTTGGCACAAGAAATGTCTGATCTAAGCACACCAAGATATTGGTACGTGCCTTTTAAAACATGTTATTTATAACTTTTAACTGCACTTCTGAGCACCATAGTCCTATAGGAAAAGGTAAAGACATGACCTCTGCGTCCTCAATGGTAGCTAGCCCCAACGGGGAAGGGAGAGTCAGGGTGCTGATGAAGGCAGAGAAGTCAAGCATAACATAGGCAGCAGTGAAGCAGGGCATCAGAGCACACTGTTATTGTAGAGACACAAGGAGCAGCACTGTCACTGGGGGAAGTGGATCAGATTCAAACCCCGGCTCCAAAAGAAGAGATTGCGATGGACATTTGCATCAGGAATTGGATTTAAAACAAAACACAGTTTATTCACAACAATTTAGCAATTTTTTCAGCTGAAAAAGTACTTTATGACCCTCTAAACTAAAGCCAATTAGCACAGTGCTGCTCATTATGGCTTGGCTCCCTAAAGCATCACTGCATAGGATGCCTGTATCACAACAGTTAGATGGCTCTGTAACATGACTCACAGGCCCTTATATGTCTAGTTAGCCAATATGACACGTCTACATGGCAGTTACCACCTGGCCATCGCAAATAGAGCAGCAATTTGTGAGTCTCTGTGGACAGTCCATGGAGAGAAACCATGCTGTTTTTAGTGCTGTGGCAACCGTACAGTGGAGAGAAAAACAAAGGGCTCTAAAGGGAACAAGTGTCCTCACACATCAGCTGATCTGCAAGGAAAGAGTTTGTTCTGCCAAAGTAAATAAAGCCCTTGCTTACAACATTGGTATTTAGGATCTTAAGTCTGGATAATTTCAGGAATTTCTCTTAGGGCTTAATTAAGTACAGAGGGGGCTTAAAGATGTGGTCAACATTAATGTACAGATCGAGAGAGCATTTATGGAAAGAGGGGTGTTTGTCAAAACAGCATTGAATCTGTTTAGTAACTCACAAAACTCAGAAAAGTTATTATTGTGATTATATTGTACAGCCTGAGATAAATTAGCTTCCATTTCCATGAAATCCAGTAAATGAAGGACAAAGGTCACTCACCCCTTTTCCAAGTCTCTTCTTGATGTCATACTTCAGAGAAATGTGGTCCTCCACCTCAGACACGTTTGTTGATTTGTTGCTCATTTTGGCTTTTTTTTTTTAAACAGTACGTTCCATACTCTGATTATTTCTGAAAGAGATCAGAGGTCTTGGATTTCCGGAAAACAGTAAAAAGTAATGGTTGGTAATGAATTGTGGAGCCACGTCCGTCAGAGATGCAGCTTTAAATACAATGATAATTTCCACAACCCACAGTAATAAAAATGCATGGACGCAAAAGAGTCTACGTGTAGTTTTGAATCTTATCTGGCAACACACACGCGACACTGTGTATAGCGGTAGGTAGCTTACTGTTCAATGTCCGTCGTGGAGCAGCTGGTTCGTTTTAAATCAATTTAGTGACTAAAATAAAATGCACTCTGTTCACCTGCACTGTGCAAAACCAGTTGTTTGTCATGGTGGTAGTTCAATTCTCACTGCGAGTTTGCAAACACCCACTGCTGCAGACGAGCCGGAGTTGTGTCATTGCTTGTCGTCCTGGTAACAAATGCGCTGCTTCCTGGTTCTTAAAGGAGCCGCAGAAACAAACACTTCCTGCTTCACAAGTCATTGAGGGACATCATGGCGTTTGATGCACTGGGATTTCAAGATATCTTCTGTAAATGTGCACATTTTTTATTTCATGGCCTCCATCAAAATGTTTCCAAATTATATGAAGTTCCTCGTTTCTGTTGAATGAATGTTCTATTGGTTTTAGTACTGCAGCACACTGGGACCAGTCCTCACAAGCAAGTAGAAACAAAAAGGGAGAGTCAACTCTTTCAGTGATCAACACTGGCTAACTTCAGAGAGGAAACATGCTGCCTGACCACTTACGTGAGCAACGAGTCAGTTTCAGGGCAGATGGTGCCAATGTCACCGGCCTACACAACACACATTCATGTGGCCAGTTAGTATTCAGGCTAGGTATTGAGTCTGCAAAGAAGTTAGTACTTTCCGAGTATTAAAAGTTAGAATTGAATCCTGGGTCAGATTTGTTGGGTGTGTGGTCAACAGGGGCCCAGCAGCTACTTTCTGCCCCGAGGCCACACAAGTAAATCTAGTCATTGATCATTAGGCTGCTGCTGTGGCAAATAACCAATTCACCTGGAAAAAATAAACAATAACACATATGCATACAAAGGGCAGTCAAAACAATATGACCAAAATGAATAAAAAGGAATAACACAAACAAATTGATCTTATTCACACACAACATAAATGAAGTTGGAGGTAGATTTTTCATCTTTATTTCTAAAAAGTTACATGCTCATTTAAAAATCAAAACTATTATTTACAATGATAAATCTTAACTAATATGCTCCCCCTGATGGTGTTTAAGGGTTGAAACATATTTAGCAAGAGGAGGGGGGGTGCTCACCTCGCTTTTACCCACATCATGTGACCAAAGCCTCACTCAAGGAAAGATGGATTAGGTGTGTTAACAGAAAACAGGGCTAGCAAATGTACACAAATAATTCCTTCCACCAAAGTTTCAATATAATTATTATTTGAAGTGCAGTTTAATATTAAAGTTCAAACAATTATTTCAGCTGCATTGATTTTCCATGAACTATGTCAGTTTCTTTTACTCAATCGACAAAAAAACATTGCAGGATCCTGCAGTAAAAACGTGATAGAATAACTAAATGTTATACAGAGCGGGATTTGCTAATCCGACCCCAAGTGGCAGGTAGTGAATAGAATTAGGGTACCAAAAAGAAGGAAAAAATATATATATTTCTTTCAAATAATACAAAGGCCTTGGCTGTTGCAACCTTTTCTTTGTCCAATATAATTGTATCACACCTCTTTGTTGTGCACTGCAAAACCTAAGTATAAAATTAGACTTTTTTTTGATATTACAGTACAAAGTTATAAGTAAACCGTTTTGTCCAGGGCAGAATAAACTCCCAATGTTAAAAGATTTATCACACAAGCTTATCTAGAAAAGAGGTCAATGGAGCGTCTCACATCACAGGGCGACCCTGGTGGGCAAAGCTGCGGGCGGCATGATGTACCAGACACAGTGGAGTATACAAGGCGGTGAAGTTTAAATAGTTAACAACATGAATAAAGGACATGTCAATCAAATGACAGGAAAGGATTGGGTCGATATGAGACAGAAAACCTGTACAGATATAAATCCACTCCCTACCAGCAACCCAAAGGAGAAAGTAGAGTGTTCCTTTTTTAACAGAATAGATATTAGAGTCAGAATTTCAGACAGACGGATCAATGTTGGACAAATGCTTCAGGAGGAATGGAGGAAGCGGTTGAAGGCATTGTAGGCAGACTCAAGATCAAACAGCATCTGGCGCACCTGGTTATCGTCCAACTCGTCTGAGGCCGACATGCTGCTGAGGGTGGTCAACCTGGTGGGGAAAAATGAAAATCAAGATAGATAACAGTTATGCCAAACAATATAAACACTGTTAACTGGGTGGTCCAGTGTAACTCACCAGAGGCTGACTTTGTCCTTAGCCTCTGAGTCTGGAGGCATGTTGCTCATTCTGTTCATGGTTTCCATCAACTCCCTCAGGTCTGGCTGGATCTGGACCAACAGAGAAGAACCAGTTAAGCAATTGTTTTAAGTCCGTCTATGGTTTAAGTTTGACCCTTTTTATATTTACCTCATCCATGGCCCTGATCTCCAGTCTCAGCTTGTCCATCACAGTGATGAAGAGCTGAAAGAAAAAGTGATGAACAATGAGACAGTGCTCACACAATCATTACGACTTCCTCAATCACCAACAAGAAATATATTATTGTTTTACAGTAGGCAACACAAGCAGGGCACACAGTCTTTGCCATAATCACTCAGACCGCTGATTTTATTAGTTTGTCAGATTTTATGAGTTATAAAAGTTGGCAGCTGGCAACACCCATTCACTTTCTTCAATGACTGACCACAGGATGAGTCAAATCAAGTGAAACCACTTCAACCACTTAGTGCTTTAACTGAACACACTAAATCATTTTGTAAAAAATGACGGCCTTTTATTCTGGCAAACGCCCAGAACAAGCCTCCTGTTTGCGCCAACTGTTTAATGTGTTGGAGCGGAAAGAGGACGTACAGAAACTATGTCTGCAATGCAGCGGTTCAGGTTCCCTTTGTCATCCTTGATGGTGATTGGTCGATCCTCCTTAATCCTTTCCATGGCTAGTGGGCAGTCGAGCTAGAGAACAAAATGACAAGAGTGGCGTCCTTAACAAGAAAAACTCTAACTGGTAGAACAACTTAATGGCCCATTTGTGAACAAAGTCAAATGGGTCATAAAATCATCTTTGCTCTAAATGAGAACTCACTCTGTATTTCCTGCAGAAGTCGTCGATGGAGCCCACATCGGAGCCCTGCACCTGTTTGAAAGCAGCCTTATACTGAACCAACAGCCTGGAACAGGAAGCAGTGTACCTGAAACAGACAACTCCTGCACATTAATTACAAATATACAACCAAAGTCAGAGGAGGAATTTCTGTTAGTCTTTTAAACAAAAAATAATGTAACTCAAGTATAACTCACTCATTCGGTGTGACGCAGTCTTTGATGTAAGCCTTCTCCAGGGCCTGAAGGGTCTTCACAACAGCAAACAACTCTGCCATGTTGTCATACCTTCAGAAAAAAGGGTTAATAATGAGGTGTTACAACACTAACCACATTATGAATGCCGGGGTTCCTCTCTGTTCATATTAGGCTAGTAATTGGTAATATATATCACACACTTACTTCTCTCGTTCTCTTGCATTCTTGTATAATTTCACCTCCTGAAAAGTCATGATTTGTGTTGAAGGGCTTTACAATAGCTAACAAGAACAATATCACATATTTCTGATTGAAATGACCAGGTAATTGTAATTGCATGACTGAGTGTGTTTCTTTAGGTTTTATTACAAATCCTGTTTTCTGAGACTTAATTTAAGCACAACATTTTTTTTCCATTTACCTCATATAACTCGGGCTTATTGGCCGGAGCTGTGGGAATAAAAAAACAATGACATGCTTTGAGTGACATTAACTATAATTGACTGTTGAAAGGAGGATAATTGAACAGTTTAAATACCTAATTTGTATACATTAGATTTATTCAAAAGGCTTACCTCCTCCTACACCTCCTGTAACTGGAATCCCGTGGAACATGATGCTGATGTATCCAAACTTAATCTGAAAAATACTTAAGTTACAATGTATCTAATTACTGACTGATAGTTGCGACCAAGCAAAATATGCTCTTCTTTTTGGTATTATGGATGTGTGTTGATACATCAGATCCTCAGGGGAGGTGTAAGCCCTGCAAGTTAACACAGTATGTGGCAAATTTAAATAGTTAAGTGCGACAAGGACCTCAGGTCGTGGTTTGGGTGCGAGCTGTTTTTTTTTTTTAAATCTTCTTTCCTGACAACTGAGCCAATACACTAATGTAAACAGTACCTGGACTGTCGTACAACATCACATCAGAGTAAATTGTAACGTTACAATTGTAAAAAAATTTAAACGCAACAATACAATACGTTAAGGTATTTATTCAATCCTACAAAAGAACAAGGAAATAATGTAAGAGATTTGTTAACGAAATGGAATACTTTTAGGCCTTAACGTTATCTATAAATATGAAATGCAATGCTCTGACAACTTTTAAGACCCCGCGGCTACCATGCGACAGAAGTTAAAAGATTCAAAATCTTACAATGTAAACGAAGAAGTTGCTGATTCACGGAGAATTAGACAAAACCCTTCAGCTGAAGGAAGCCTATAATTTGTTGTTTTGCCGAACCAGCTAGCCCGAAGTTAGCTGTCGATGCTAGCTGTTCAGCACTTCCTGTATGATTTATTATAACTGGTCAATACAGGTAGCTGTTTGTGAACACTAACGTTTGTATTAGTGACCGTTATTGTACAACACTCGCAGAATTATTCAATATAATTGTTTAATAAACGAAATTAAAAGACATTCTACTTACTCTTCGGCAAACAGCTGTGACGTCTATGTAAACACACCCTCCCGTGAGGACCCGTAGACGTCACAATATTAGGTGTCCATTGAGCCTCACTAAATATAAAGATAATTTAGATTAATACTAGCATATCAACATAAGTAACGTTGGTTTATTACTAGGCTATGTATATCACTTATTTTAAGGAGTTGTTAGGAGTAAAGAATGGATTTCAAGGCTTAATCACATCATTTTCACTCAGGCAAACATCAGTGGGAGCCCGCTGTCGAGGCGCCAGACTCAAACGGTATTGAGTCAAAATTACTGAACAAAAGGGTAGATTAAAAGAGTTTAAGGAACCGCAAAGGGAAGCTGAAACATTAAGGTAAAATCCGACGAGGCCAGTTCAAATATGATATGATGATTTGCGTTGAATGGAGAATCTAAGTAAGACTGGGATTATTAAACGTTAAATTATCCGTTGGTGAAGTTGTGTAACTGGTCAACACCAGTCGCGTAATTTAGATTATGGAAGAATTATGGGGTGAATTAGCGTTAGATAAAGATGAGGAACGCAATATTGCCTGTGATAAATCACGCAGCGAACGTATATCAAAAATCTATGTTATCCTACGCACAAATACAATTTTGTATTTCATGTATTACAGATCTGTCCCTCACTCTCCACTATGAAGACCTCCAAACCAGCTCTGCGGACCTCTGCTCAAGAGGAATGTGGAGTTTGGCTGGATACTGTGCAACTGAAAGGAAAAGCCAAACAGGTAAATGTGGAAACTAGTTAGCTAAACTAACACAATTATGACTGATCAACAAAGCAGTGAATGAATAGATTTAATAACTTGTTCACAGCAGATGTTAATAACACACTACCACTTCCAGTATATCATCTTAACAGTAGCCATTTCCTCAGTTTTTGCACTTTGTGTCTTAGTAGGATCACATCTTAACGTGCATGTCTTCTTATTTTTTTATTTGTAGAAACGGTACGCTCCTCCCATTTCTAAACTGCTGAATCCCTTCGCTGGAGGCGGAGGATACAGTTTGGCTGTGGCACTCAATTTCACCCAGACCAAAATGGAGATGCCAAAGACCAAACAGAGCTCTATATCAACCTTTTTCACACCTCAGGGCAGAGGTATGTTGCAAACCTCTGCTAAGACATTTTCTTAGGATGAGTACCATATTTTGCTGCATCAGTCAGAAGCTGATAAAACTGCAGTAAACCATTGACTTGATGAATGTATACATTGAAACAACCTTTTGTTTTTGTGTTAACATAATGCTTTTTTCTTGTACTTTCTGCCTAAAGTTCTCAATAAGATGTCTACTTCTGAAGTGCCAAACATGGATCCAGTGCAGCCTTCTTCATCATCATCTACCTCGGCCACACACGCCTTAACTGCACCCTCGCCTGTAGTATCGGGGACAAAACGAAGACTTGAAATGTTTGACTTGTATAACTCTGAGCCTGGAGTGAATCATGAGTGGGAAAGGGAAAATGTGACTGAGCCTGAAGCAGCACTGTGGGAGCAGGCAGCAGAAGAGCAATATGAGGAGCTAAATCCACCACGGAGGAAGAGGAGGTTCATTGCAGCCTCCTCATTGCCAGGTGACAGTCAGCCAGTTCCACAGGCGTGGAGTCAGGACCCACTGTTTACCTTCAGCCAATATTCTGACGGTGCGAAGGACGTTAGCGACTCTGAGCCAACCTTCCTGGACAGTCTACGAAGTGAGGACGCCTTTGGTATTCAGATTAATGTGGAAGGTGGAACCTCGACTCAAAAATCCTTCAAACATTTTCCTTCTTCTCAAGAGAAAGAAAACAGCAAGTTTTTGTCCTTTAAGTCACCAAGAAAGCACTCAACTCTCTCTCACGTTGAACCTCTTTCAGATCGTAAATGTACAGAGCCAAAAACCAGATCACCTCGAAAACATGTTCCCTTGTGCATGTTGAAAAGCGCCGATGAAGAGGAGAGCCTTGAGTCACAGTTCAAGTGGACCAAACCGAGCTGCTCTCCTCTCAAGAAAACGGCAGCGAAGCTGTGCTGCAGAGAGGTCGATGAGGACAGTCTGGCCATGTTGTTCACACAGGACTCTGAAGGCTTCCGGGTGATAGCGCACAGAGGTCTGCAAGCTAGGAGTCCACTCAAAGACAAGAGCAACATAAGCTCTGTGATGGTGCGAACGGGTGCTTATAAATCTCTTGTGGACCAAGATGAGGAAGACGAGATGCTCTTTACTCAAGACTCTCAGGGGAATATGGTCATCAAACACTGAAAGGAGACTTTGAAACTCTTGTGTTGATATACTCGTCTCATCCGTGCAGCCAGAGTTTGAAATCAGTTATAAACTGAAATTTCTTGTTTGATTTTTTTTAACTACTTTCAAACTGAAAATATTGTAATTATTTCTGTGACTGTCTTACCTACCTTTCTTCATCTCTAAATCTTTTATATTTTCCTGGATGTTGAAGTCTTTCTCTGTTTTCCATTTAAGACTTTGCTATTTTTTGTTTTGGTCTCTTTGATGCTGATGTCTTGCCAGGTGCAGCTCTCTTTTGCAAAAAAACTCTAACAAACAAGAACAGAAGGTTTTGATTTTATTTGAAAAATGATACACAATTACATCAATTTGCTTTAATGTTAATTAAAAGTTTTGAAAAGCATTAGTGGTGTATACTGTCTTATGTATCTTATGCTGGTGCCATGTGCTACATCTTAGTACAAAGTAATACTACAAAGGAGACTAGGAAGTGTGAAAGTTACTACTACCGTCAAAGGTGTACAAATGCAGTGCTCGTCACATGATTTCTAAGTATTCTCAGAAATAACTAAGTATTTAGTTCATTATTTCATGTTGAATTAATAACTTCTACAGAATCTGACATTGTAACATTCGTCTGACCTGATTGGTTTTACAATACAAACACTAGCAAGACTGACATCTGCCGTTTATGCAAAATACAGTGAGCAGTGTTGCATAATCTTCATTTACTAAGTGCAACAGTAATAATACATTTTATTTGTACAGTGCTTTGAAGACACTTTACATGACTAGTGACTACCATGCCCTCTACACATTTAAAGAGATATCTAAGATACACTTCATTAGATAGAAAATATACCAAGTAGTCCTACTCTTAACTCTTATTTTTGTCTGCCTGGCCACTGAATGTATGTGCATGTTATGTAATCTTTAGCCTTTTCTGTAAAATGTTTTACTGCTGTGGTCTAAATGGTGCTTCTGCTCTCATACGGTAAATCTTGATAGAGTACAGTCATAACAATGTTATGGTTATTCATAATCAACAGTTTCAAAGTGCTAGAGAGACATGAAGTCACAAATACAGGAACAACAGGTGGACCAAAAGTTAGTTTGTCGCATTAATCCCTTTTATGTCTCGGACAGAGATTATTAAAAAAAAAGAAAATCAACGATAGCCCGGTGGTAATGAAGCGTCAATCAGCCTGCGATTTCAGTCGGCTCTGTCACCAGCTTGGAGCCGTCCCAAACGGTCTTGAACTGCTCCGGTACTGGAAACTCCCTCTGTAGAATAACCAAGAAGGTAACTGTGAATGCAACTGTGGAACAAGAACTACACACATGAAAGACTCAGGAAAAACACTGGACAAATGCAGTGCTCCTGATCCCTCCTTGTCCCTGATCTCAAGACACTCACATATTCCTCATCTTGTGGTACCAGGATGTTCATCGCAGAGCTCTTGGCACTGACGATGTCACAGTTGAGGGAGTCCTTGCTGAGGTAGACCTGGCAGCCCTCCGTCGTGTTGATGGAAATGGTGGGAACTGTTCCCAACACCTACAGACAGACATCTTGCAATTACTGATGTGAAAAACAACTGATTCTAATGATATTCAAACAGAGGTTAGAATCTCAATTTGAGAGTCCTTTGAAGCCAATGTATTCTGTAAATGTTTTTCTCACCTGTAACTGAATTCCCTTGGAGTTGATGATCTCCACAATCCCAACGACATTCTCAAAAACCAAACCCATCTTCTTGCAGTTGTCTGGAGAGAGTCAATACAGATTAAGATCATAATCAGAAATTATGAATTTAATCAAAAAATGTTCAGTCTGTTTTCAGAGTGCTCACCTATTATGATGGAGTTAATTTTGCCCTTAATCTGCAGGGTGGAGTTGTTACAGCCGAAGACGTAGACCACTTGTTTGAGCTCCGTCTCCTCAATCATCAGGTCGTGTTTCTGCTCAAAGTTCTCCTGCAACCACAAGGGTACCGATTCAATAACAGGATTTACCACCAGATGGAAATATAGTATCTTACTTTGGGAATAATCCCTCAAAGAGAAAGTAAACATTTCACATACCACCCTCCATTTCTTCCCCTCAAGCTCCAGCAGAGGGGTTTTTTTCTGGACTGCTGCCCTGGGAGAGTTCACAGTCCCTGGGGACTTTGTTTTGGTCGGTGTTGCTTGTGAACGCAGATTGGAGTTCTTATGGGTCTTCTTGGCATCCGATACATGCTTCAGACCTATAGATGGAAAACATGAGGAGAAATTATGTATGCACATGCAGGGATGTAGTAGAAAAACATTCAACAGTTCCACTACATTTTCTGTAATTAATTTAATTAAATTAAATATCAGGGCATGATCTCTGTGTCATTACTGGTAGCTACAGTACGTCATTTGCACATGCATATTGTATAACCTTCAATCAACCCACCTTTAGTAATGTCCATGCCCTGGTTGAGCTGGGCAAAGAGTGCTGAGTGTTGGGCCACCGCACTGCCCGCCTGAGGCTGGGAGTCATCATCAGTGAAGACCGGCGGTGGGCCGGGGGGAGGAGGAGGAGGAGGAGGACAGGACGGAGCACTGGGGGGGTCAAAGAGAGGAGGAGCGATGGGGCCCTGGAGGGTGGAAAAAGGCAAATGTTAGATAGCAGCATTGCCTTTTTGCTTTGTGAGCTTTAAATGCGAGAAAACACAGCAGTTTATTTTGGAGATAACAGCTGTAGTAACATATCTCTCCAGCAGGGGGAGTACTGCACAAGAAATATCACCAAGCTTGTCTTTTTACCAGTCGACCATGGTGTGTAGGTGATTGTGCTCTGCATACATGAAGATGAGAAAAAAAACACTTTTCATCTTTAGTGAGATATTTTGATAATGGGGAAGCTCTTTTATTTTCCTTGAAGCAGCTTTAAGGTTGTTACTGTCTCTGTCTGTCAGTACCCCATTTATATATTTTGTACCAGCTTGTTACAGCTCTTTATTGAAGCTATATGATGTTTTCACTGGGTTAAATATTCAAACCCATGACTATTCAGCAAATGGAAATATTCTAGACATCTAGTGCAATATTTTATAAACATTTCCCAAAAGAAATCTACCGGAAATGTTTGGCCTCTTTGGAAACGTTGGGATATCAGCTGCAAGAATATAAAATAAAGTCCTGTAGCTTTGAAACATGTCGCTGGCTGAGCAGTGTCAGTTTGTAATTAGACTAATCGGGACCTATAATCAGTGCTCTGGTCATCTTCAGTCCATCTCGATGTGTCTACAATGAATAGCAGCATTGGTTTAATTAATGCTGCGTACGTATAAGCTGTGTACAGTGAAAGTGCACAGCCACCTATCGACTACTACAGTGAAGAGACGCACACACACACATTCACACACACAGTCTGAAGACCTTGCACAGCTGCCAGAGACCGACACACACACACACAGACACACCTATCACAGCAGTTCAACTGTCAATTTACGCGTTTCTGAGTACAGCTGAGACTACGTGCCCTTTGACACGAGGCACATGTGTCGTGAATATCATTGCTGAACAATGCTGAGCTGTTACACTAAACAGCTCAGCGCATACCACTGGATTAGAAGCAGCATGGGTGTGTTCATGCATGGCTGTAAAACCATCTGACTGCTTCTTTGTGTTCGTGGCTGCTTGTGTGTTTGTGTGTGTACGGGTGTACACAAACACGTTTGTCTGAGGCAGAGGAGAACTTTGCATTTCTTGTTTGAGGGCATTTCTGTCCTTTTTTTTGATTTTGAGGGGCGTTTGGTCACAATTAATCAATTGACAGAAAATGAATTGGTAACTATTTTGATAATCGATTCATCATTTAAGTCATTTTTCAAGCTAAAATGCCAAACATTCACTGGATACAGATTCTAAAATGTGAGAATTTGCGGCTTTTCTTTGGGTTATGTATATTTTGGGGTTTTGGACTGTTGGTTGGGCAAAAGTAGCAATTTGAAGACTTAACCTTGGGATTTGTAGTGAAGTTGTGATGGAAATGTTCACTGTTTTAAGGCATTCTATATTGAGAAAAGACTGTCAGATTAATAAGATAATAATAATTAAGATTTTGTGTTACTTTTCGGTCAAAAAACACCCACGTTTCCTCATCCAGAATGTACTTAACTGATCAGAGGCCACAAATTGCCTACAGGACTACAGATAAGACTAATATTATCAACTCAGTGGCACAAATTGTTAAAAAAACAAGGATAATCTTGATTTTTTTATGAAATTCTAAATTCCTTTTTGCCATAGGCCTGATCTGAAGCATATAAACTAATGTGATTGGCAGTGTGTGTGTGTGTGTGTAAAGCCACCTCCATACGCCAGCCTGTGCATGTCAGAGTGTAAGCGTGTCACTAAACCCTTATCTGAGCAGCAGATGACGGCTGTGTTAAAGGGGGACCAGCCCTGCAGTTTAAGTTACGGTGCAGACTGTGTGTACACAGTCTCTTTGTCGGGCTTCGTCTGTGAAGAAAACCTCCATTCAAGTAAACCCTGAGGACCACCTGTTACGTACACACACACCCGAGTCTCTCACACACACTTCAGCTCTGTCGTTTGACAGCAGGGACAACAGCTGACACACGAACAGCCTCTGCAAGCTCTCAAGTTTCTGCGTGTAGAAAACACACATGCATGCACAGCTGTTGAGCATTAGCTTCACCAGAGGTTTTAACCTAATCGTTTGTTTGACGTTAAAGGAGCAGTTTAACATGTGTTAGATGAGAAGATTGATACCACTCACCAGTATGGTAAATATGAAGCTACAGCTCGCAGCCAGTTAGCCTAATGTAGCTTAGCATAAAGAATTAAAACAGGGGGAAACAGTTAAAATACACCAGGGTTTCAGGAAGTTGCTGTTCCAGGCCAAGAACTTATAGTCACTTATTGGGTCCAGGTGGAAAAATAACGAAGTCACCCTTTAAGTTTTTGTGCAAATTAACTAAATGAGATGCAATGTGTTACTACCTTTGGATGTAGCCATGCTAGCTGTTTCTAATCTTTATGCTAGGCTAAATTAAGCTAACTGTCTCCTGACTATAGCTCCATATTTACCGTACAGACACACAGACACAAAACTGGTATTAGTCTCCTTATCTAGAATAGAATAGAAATATACTTTATTCATCCCCAAGGGGAAATTTGTCTGTGTCGATCTAACTCTCGACTAGAGCAAAATCAAAATCAAATCAAATAAAAGTGAATAAGTGAATTTCTCAAAATGCTAAATTGTTCCTTTCAGAGGGAAATTGCACCACGGCTTTCCCTGACTGAATAAAGATGAGAAACACTTCCAGCTAACAAGGACAAAAAAGGTCAAGTGTGTGTGGAAGGATTTGGTTTCGGCCCATAACAATCTCTAGGATCTAGTGAGCGTGAGTGCAGAGGAGTCCCAAAGCTGACATCCATAAACAGAAGTGTGTGTGGGAGTGACAGAGGTTTTGGGAGCTCCATGGAGCCCCGCAGGGTGCAGCTACTGGAGAGAAGCTCATTCATTCATTCATGCTCTCTGCAGTGGTTTATGTAACCGGCTGCTCCATAACTAAAAATGGAAGTGTACGCAAATAGCAGGAGTTAATTTGAGCTCTGATATAAAAATATCAAGGCCTGCGAATGGAAACTAGATGAAATAATAAACAAGTTGTTACAGGAGTAATGCATTGTTTATAGGCAAGTGTATTGTTAGCTTTTAGAGGAGAAGTAACTGTACTCACACTCTTGCTCCACACCAGTCCTGTAGTGTGGTGCTGTTTGATGAAGGACTGCATCTCGTTCCAGATTGAAAGGTAAGAATGCACCCAGTCTACATGACGCCTGTCGCTGGGAAGGTTGGTGAGAGATGTGATGGTCAGATGAAAACAGAAAGGAAGATGGGGTAAGCAGTAAGGTAGGATGGAGCAGAGTGAGGGAGTGCAAAAGGAGGGGATGTGAGGATGGATTGAAGCAGAAGGTCATGAAAAATGTAAAGAAAGGAAATCATGTAAAATTAAGCATTTCACTGATGAACTTTCTGAGATAGAAGTCGTCTATTAAAGTCATACAAATTTAATCCAATGCATCTTTCTGGAATATTGCATATTGTGCTATTTGGTAAAAGAATATCCCACAATGCAAAAGGATATGAAAGGTAACAAAATAAACTCCTGCAGCCTAGTTCCTTTTGGAGTCAGTATGATTGATGCTGCTTTTTAATTGCTTTGCTAATATTGCAATACTTTCAAAAGGATGCATACTTAATGTTCACTGTGATGGATTACACACGTCTGCATGTTCACTTTCATACTGTGCAGAAACTATTGAAATCAATGGCTGCCTGGGATTGAAAAGAAATTAGAGGAATCTGAATCTCTAGATCAAAATTGCAGTAAAGTAAAGTATTTATGCTCCGTAGTAAATGGGCTAAAACATCACTGTTATAGTTTTGACTTACGTTTCCTTGTAGTCCTTCAGCACTCTGTTGGTGTAGAAGGTGGCAGCATCGTTCATCTCCTTCACATACGGACCCGGCTTCTGATTCTGAGAGGCATGAAAATTCATTAGAAAACACTTACCTCACTGTCATTGTGGCGGTGGCAGTGTGAGGTCAAAACTTTCTTATACAGACTTCTGAGAAAGTATCTGACTATCAGCAGCATTTGTCTTCATTTGAGAGCAAAAAGCAGAAGAGCTCATAGTGACAGTCACATAGTGATGTTTGATTAGACCTGTGTGGAAAAGTGCCCTCCTGACAGCAACGAACACTGACCAGAGCCTGCTCCAGAGGCTTTTTCTTAAGTACTCAAGTGGAAAAGCTTTGATCTAAATCCAAATTATATTTATCCCTAAACTCAGAAAAATGTATTTTGTCATGATGAGAAACAAAGACTGATGAGAGGACAGAGGAACAAATACTGGATTTCAAACATGGAAGGCTGTGTTTATTTATACTAATCTGTCTAAATGCAACATTATTATAGATTTTATGTATTTAATATGACGGCGTAATTGCAATTAAAGGAGCCGTATTTAACATTTTGAACATGAATAGAGAAGCAAACAACTATTCGTTATGTAAGGACAAAGTGGATTAATGTCTACCTGAGCAGAGAAGTTAAGAGTTTCCTTTGGTGAGTTTGTTTCATCCATTTATATACATGTGTCTATGTGCTTCTCATCTTCTTACATGTGTTTTCCTGTAGATATCTGTGTGTTTGTGTGCATAAGTGTGTGTCTTTGCACTCTTCCTTACCACAGCCACCCAGCCTAGAGCGGGGATGCTCTCACTGACCGCTGACAGGTGGTTGAAGAGGCTGCTGCCGCGGTTTCGTTCGCGGAAGCTCTGGATCTCATGGATGTGATCCGAAATCGGCTTCAGCAGGTCGTGCAGCTCCGTCTGCAGGAGAAGAATAAAGGAGTTATTAGAATAGGTGAGCAGAAGGATGCAGGAGAAAATGTCTGTGTGAGAGGAGTATGCAAGATGAAAGAGCAAGGTAGAATGGTAGGATATTGGGACTTCTAAACAACATATTGGATTTAAATCAAATTACAAAAAGCCCCGAGAGCTAGAAAGCTGTCTTTAACAAAACATGACAGCCTCTTTCTTCCTCAACATATTTTAGATGCTTTAGTTTTTACAACCCCAATGTTGTTTCCCCAACCCTCCATACCCAGCCTGGTCTCGTTGCCGGTCAGTAATTCGTGAACTAGGCTACAGGACAGTAACAAATTTTATTAGCCAGAGCTTTTTTCCATTGGATCTTCCAGATCTCAGCAACAGTATAGCCCGTCTCCCAGCCCTCAGCTCCCCTCCCCATCGCTTCGTTCCTGAAACATTCCTCGGTTCATGGGGAGATCCCTCTGGCCTTGTAAGGCATACTGCTCCTCCAGTGTTTACAGTTTACCTATCACACACGCACCCGCACACATATATTCAGGAACACAATGTTTCCTTTGGGGAATTGCTGCTACAGCTTTCTTGTTCTGATCTCCAGTGAACTGGCTGCTATGTGAAACATTTACTGTTAATGAGCTGTGACAAAAATGTTTCTTTATTGAGATGAGAAGCTGCAGAACACTGCTCTGTTATTAAAGCTGATTTATGACATGCATCAAGATAAGCCAGTGTATTTGCTTTAATAACATCAGTTTATATAGGCAACCTGATGTATGGTAAAGTATCTCTAGCTGTATAGTGTGTGGTTTATTCCACAGCCCGCAGTTCATTTGTGTGTGAAAGTGAGTGTATTTAAACATATCTGTTTTAATTCAAGTGTATTTTTTATATATGAAAATACAGCTCCTATGCTTGCGTACAAAGGAGCAATAAAAATAGAAGTAGATGTTCTCCTTTTTTCCCAACGAATTCTTCCTCCAATGAGTTGCACATGATCTCCATAAGCTGAGGTAGACACTCCTTTCTCTGCTCCTCCGGCTGCTTTTATTCTCACTAAATCCAGCTAATATCTGTGTGCGAGGAGCTTTAAAGCAATATATCCAAAGCAGCTACCATACTTGTGTACTGGGTTTACTGAGTAGGAATGGATGATGAGGGTGATTTGAGGTAACATTATTCTGCAGATTATTCAAATTAAATCAATTGATTCAATGTTTTGTCTCTAAAATGTTCAAAAACCATGAAAAATGCCCATCGTGAATTTCCAAGGTCTTTAAATTTCTGACCTATAACCTCGAAATATTCAGTTCACAACAAAAAAAGAATCAAATCTGCACATTTGAGAAGCTGGAATCAGCACGTATGACAACTAATTGTTAATACAAATAGCTGCAGATTCAACTAACAGTAAATCAACTGATATTTTCAGCTCTACTAGTTCTGTGGAAATGAATAAAGAGCAAGAGCACATTCTCTGGCAGCTGCTAGCGTCCATTATAGCCGTCTGTCCCTTTCAACGTCGCACAACAACAAAGTCATCACGGCTTCCACTGAAAGTATGACTTGTACTCTGTGAGTCAGTGGACTTCCCCTCACTCAATCAGGCTGTGCAGTGAGAAGAGACACACATGTATTAGCTGTATTCCCAAGTGCACTGTAACCTGAAAATGTTCTGGCAGATATACTGTACGTGCTGGCATCAAGTGTAAACAGGAATCAATTTTTCATGTATGTTTTCCCTTCAGCAATGCTATGCAAAAGCTATGATTTCTTCAAATCTTCTACCACAGCTAGTGTGGGAACAAAAACTGCATCATTCCTAAGCACAGATAGATCTACATTGGTCTTACATAGACAAACACATATTACTTTACACTAAGATAAGCTAAGCTAATTGTGTGATGGCCAGTAGCCAACCTAGCTTAGCATAAATACTTGAAACAATGGGAAACAGCTGGCCTGGCCACCAGCACTTCTAAAGCTCACTAACTAACATGTTGTATTTCATGTGTTTAGTCCATTCAAGTGTTTTTAGCGGAATAGCTAACCTTTGGGAAGAGCTAGCTTCATGAAGCGGTTAGATTAGCACAAAGGCAGGAGAACTTAATTCAATCAAAGACTGAACTAAAGCAGCTCGTTCGAACTAGTTTACACGGTCAATAATCTCTGGACTAAGATTAACACAATGACTTGAATCCTAATTCCCACTATTCCCCAAAAGTAAACGTTTCTAAATGCAAATGTAGGCCTCCATATGACGACGTGGATAAGAAGTCAACTGAGGCAGAGATACAGACAGAAAGGGAATGAGCCGAATAAAAGGTTTAAAAACGTCGGCTCACATTATTGGATGGGCAGTGTGTTACAAAAGCACAGCGTCCGAGCCTTGACTTCCTATACAAGCAGTGGATCAAAGGTGCAGAGTGGAGGGCGACAATGGGAGAACAACTGTAACTGTGAAAGTCTACAGTGTGTCTGAACTGCCAGACACACAAAGCTAACAGGCCAATTTGAGGTCAGATGAGCGAGACGCTTACTTTCTTTCACTCTAACTTTCTTTTTCTCACACCCACACCCACGCACACACACCCACACACACACACACACACACACACACACACACACACACACACACGCAGGCTCAAATATAGAACATGCCCATAAAAAGTCAGAGAGCACAGCAGGGGCTGCGCTGCAGAGAACGGCCAGAAGTCTGTTATCTGTGTATGTATGTGTGTGTGTGTGTGTAAAGAGGGAGGACACTGGTTACACACATTTTGTCCTCATATGCCTGATCTGCATTGCGGACTACAGATACAGATGAATGAGTGAGGTCGACAAATGTGTGTTTGTGTGTTTGTTTGTGAAGGTTTTTCAGGACAGGGGTTGTACTGATGGTAGTTGGCTTGTGTGTGTGTGTGTGTGTGAGTGTGTGTGTGTGCATTGAAGGGTTTATGGGTCATGTTGACTGTGAATAGAGAACTGAGCCTCAGCACCACTAGCCTCAGCTTGGCATTGAGCTTTCTCATAAAGCATTTCTTTAATCATGCTTTTTAGAGAATCTTAGACATGACACTGGGTTTATACATCCGTATTCTGAGCTTAACTGGTATTTTTGACTGTACTGGTGAGTAAAATTTGTAAAGAGAGAACATTTTTTGTTGCGAGCATTAGTATTTAACAACTTCCCATGAGGCTTTCACAGTGCTACTGGGACCAGTGGCTAAAAAGTCAAACAAACTAGAACGCCTTACGTCAACTAATGCCTGTCTTCCAACCTAATTAACCCTACATTTAAAGGATATAGTGATATTTTGTCAATGCACATTATTTCTAACCCTCACACGACCAACACATTCATATAACCATCTTGAGTTGTCTAATTATACGAACGCTCGCAAGTCGTAAACAAGGTCTTCTCCATCGCTACCTTCCATCCCACACGACATGAACACGGCATAAGATTGCTAAAAATGCTATAAAATTGATTAGCTCTTTCATCTTAGATTATGAGATTCTCAGTTTTGACTATACAGTACAGTCATATTACCAGATGCCAGAGCTGTTTTAAGTCTTTTGGGGAAAGTTTTCCAGCAAGCTACCAGTCAAGCTACACGTTTTTCAGTTTGTATTGCTGATAAACCTGAATATTGACAATTAAAATCATATGACATCTAAATATTTTGCTGTTAAACCAGTTCTTAGTGTTTTTATGGTTTTTCTTTTACAGCTAAGACCTTTCAATGCATACACATAGGCCTACTAAAAAAATATTAAAGGGCCGTCTTGCACGGTGTTCATTATTGTTTTCATTGTTTCAGGATTTACAAAGGTATGCGAAAAGGACTTGAATGTTTTTTGTTTTTAAGTCTCAAGTTAAGTTTTTAGGGAGTCAAGACTTATATTTAAAATCCTTATTGCTGCATCTGCTCTGCTAGATGCTAATCTCGATTAGAAGATGGACAGAAAACCCTAGTATGTGTTTGAAACATTCAAAAAGAGATGAAAGAAGCGCTCTACGATAATTACATACTTGGAAAGAGGACAAGACTTCTGTTTCATCTCTTTTTCTGTGTCTTGTTTTGTGTTTATTTGGCCACCAGTAATGCAGAAGTTCATCTCTCCTTCCCTTGTATCTCTCTCCTCCCCTCTCTTGGGTCAGTCCCTCTCTCTCTCTGTAAAACACTCACTCCTTCCTCGTTTGCATTTCTGACAATCACTGAATGCTCTTTTCACAGCCTCTTGACCAATGACATGACAGATAGGGAGTAATCACTTCCTGGTGGGCTCTGCCAGCCGTGTAACACACACAACACACACACACACACACACACACACACCCACAGACACACAACACAAACAGAAGGCCAATGGGATGATATCATATCAGCTCTCTCTCACACACACACACACATTTCTCCCACCCCCCCCTTTCTCTATACGTGATCATGTCGGGAATGTGTTGTATTGGCGTTTTCTTAGTCAAAGAGCAGCGTAATCCCTCTGTGAACAGCCCGGCCTGGTGGGGAACACAAGGGGGGAGGACACAGACCGACACACCGCTCCGAGATACAGTTCATTTTCTATGTCAGATGTGAAAGGTTTGATGCAGTTTGTTACTGAATCTTGTGAGCATCACCTGCTGCAGTTAACTGAGAGCTAGCAGCAGCTAAGCATCATGATGGTATCGAGTCACATTTAAATGATTACTCATCATTTCCACCAGGTTCAGTTGGGTTCTAATAAAACTAATACTGTTAATGACATGAAGGTTGGCACACATGATTTCTGTTGCTAACAATAAACCATTAATTTATTTTAACTGTTGTTTGCCATGCAGTAAAAGTGGTTTTAAGTAGTTTTACAGTAAAGCATATTTCAGGGATGAAGGGGAAAGTAAAGAAATAACTGGCACATTGGCATATATTTCTAGAGTAATGGTTTCAATAATTTTATTTATCATGAATTAGGTAATCAAAGGTCGAACATTCTGATATTATCCTGACAGAATAAGTTAGAGTAGTTGAGTGCACATTGACATAACCTCTGTGGGATTGATGCTGGATGCCACAGGATCAATACAATTTAAATACTACACACTGGAATCACAGCTTCCGTTAATTCACCAGTGACCACACACAGCTGTCACACCATTTCAGCATGTTGTACCTGTGCAGGTTTCTGGTGCGTGGCGGCGATCTTGAGAAAAGTTCTCTGATTCTGCAGGGCGTTGTCAACCATGTCCGCCTGTCGATCATAAAGAACCAAAGTAAGACAGGTTAGGATACGGTTAGGGTTAAAATACATGGAATGTAACAAGCGGCGTGTAACTATATTGTGTATACTAGTATAGAAAATGTTACAGTGCAATGAAAAAAAGGTTTGCAAGTCTTTCATTCTCTTGTGTTTACGTTTTTTGTTTTCTCACGACTAAAATCTAGGCAGACAATCAATCTGTCTTAGGCATGAAAAGAAAATGTTGTAACATACACACAGAGTCTGGGTTTGTCCCAACCAGCTGTGTCCTGTGTGTGTTTGAGACCTCCAGTCGCGGGCCAAGGGAACCACCAAGGAGGCTTTGTCCATAAAAGGAGCTCTGCAAACTTCAAGAAACTACCTCTGGCTCTCGCTCACACACTCCCCCTCCTTCTCATCCCGTTCAGTGATGTGACATTGAGATAGAGATCTTCTATCAAAGTACGGAGGAACAAATACAAGCATTCTTTTTTTACATTTAGCTGTGATTTCTCTCTTCCTGCCTTTACTCTTCTGTTCTGGATTTATTCAAAGGACATAACGCTGCTACTATTGCCAACTGGGTGACAACACAACACACTCACAGTCCTAGTGGGAGTACAGGTCATTACCAAATAGGAAAAGGTGGTCCACTAGCGTTTTGATAAATTAAAGTATGGTCAAAGTTCAGTCATACTCCCATCCTTTGTAGAAGACAGGAAACCTTGGATCACGGCCCTCCCATACACAAACATCACTATCCTGCAGCTTTCCAGTGCCACACATATGTAAGCTGGATCTAAAGCAGGACAATCCATGTTGGTTCATACATTTAATAAAAGTTAGCACAGGCAGACTGCACTAGTTGCTCCACTGATATCTGTGCTCCCTTTGGAGAGGATCTCAGCTCATTCCTGTGAGCAATCCGCCTTTATATTGAAGTGCAAGACACATGTACAGCAGATTTTCAAGTAATTTACACAGCAAAACATTTCAAACTGAGGGCACCATCTGGAGTTACATTTGGAGTTAAACAGATACTTCAGAAATGAATATTGCTCTTCCATTAAGTTGGGGGACTTTTAGGGGATGGATCTGTGCCACTTTAAAAAATGATTAACAGTTGCTTTTGCCCACAGTAAACTGACAAACCTGTACTGATTGTTAGGATAGCAGCTGGTAACATCTGTCTCCCACAGCTGCTGCAGATCATGCATGAGTGTGTGCATGGGCAGGTGTCTTATTCATCATCGTCATCCAACATTTGTGTGGAACGGTGGGACTTTACACTCTGAATAGTCACTCTGTATCAAGGGTGTATATTTAGTTTCAGAAGTGTGTATAAAATATTATATATATATATATACTGTATATATATTGTATTTCTATCTTTCCGACAAAGAGTGCTGTCCTTTTCTACATTTTGATTAACTCCTCTCTTCTCTCATCTGGATTTTGGCAGCTGGACAGTAAGACGACAGTGTTTAGAGAGACTTCAGTGACTGAATCAAACACAACTTACATGTTTCTCCACCTCACTTCCGATGGCGCGGCTGTAGTTCAGGTACTCCGACAACGGACCTCTCAGTAGGTCGTCAAAGGCCTCCAGACACTGAGACAAACCTGGAGAAACACAGAGAGCTCTTAGTTGAGCTTTCCCTTCAGTTTATCCGGTGCCTGTTTAACGTGTTGCTAGTATCGAGTATTGCTGAGGCACAGACTTGCCTCCATCGATGCCATTGACGCAGTTCCCATTGGCCATGCCGCTGGCCGCCTGCATCGGGATGGACATCTTCTCCAGGCGAGTCACAGCTTGCTCCAGCCGCTCTATTAAACCTTCCATGGTGACAAACCTAGAAACAAAAGACTGGTTTCTTAAGCTGGGACCTTTCTAATCTTAGGTATTTGTTTTGAGATACAGTGCGTTGTTTCACTTTATTGATGGCAGAAGAAAAGTGTTTTCTTGAGAGATCAGCACTGGTTCCTGAGCAGAGGATCACTATTGAGGACCGAATCACTGCTCAACTTTCCCACGCTGCGGCTCCCTGTTTTCAAAAAGCTGGCACATGTCAGTGCAGAGAGAAACTAAACGTGGCCAATGCGGTGGGGTTTATATGAACACTGTCTCTGTTCGAGCTGTCTGGCTCTCTGCCACAGTCACAACCAATGCCATGAACACATGAACGTATCACACAATTGGATTAAGAAGGAACAGAGACTGGAGTCAGGCAGAGAGGAAAGACAGAGAATTGAGTGCAGTGGAATAATAAAGAAAAGTTGAAGAAAATACCTATCTTTAAGTAGAAGCAACATGTGTTCTGTTTCGAATGAAAAAAATGTAATTAAATGAAGAATTTAATAATATATACAGACAATAATATACAACCACAGACTTGTGAAATAATCCCATTACGTTTATTAAACAGAGTTTATTAATTGCAAGTTATCTTAATTCAGTTCCAGTTTTTACTGTCGTGTTTGTCTTGGTTGACAGACAAAGACTTTCTGGTCAAAAGTGGCATTATTATAAACTGAAAGAATTTTGAAAAATATTAGAATGAATAAAACTGACTTCAATAAATTATGTGGGAATAAAGGAGGATGAAAAAATATGTCTAAATAACGAGTTTAATGGAGGAATTGTAATGGGTAATCTCTATTTCTTCATTTAATATTGAATGCCATAAATGTCCCAGACATTCAACATACATGATTATATGGACTGTACCCAAACTCAGCTGATATGTGCAGACAATATTGCCAAGCTTAACTCACTGTTATGAGATGAACGAACCTCCAGCTGTAATCGAAGGCCACTGAAACAAGGCACAGACCCCATCGTATCTCTTTCCTTCACACTGACCAGCTATATGCCTCACAATGAGGCAATGCAGGCGATTAGTCAACAGAGCGGAATTCAATCCAGCAACCCTAGGTATGTTTACGCAAACTACTGCTAGGTAACACGCACTTCCTAATCTGACACCTGCTACCTTCCTCTCAAACAAACAATCCAACGGTGTGAGTTGTAATCTGTTTTAGTCGCTTCACAAATGATCCATACAAACACCAGGAGGCTCTTTGCGTCACATTAATGTGGCAGCTAGACTGCATAGTTTTCCCTGTCTGTAATCTTTGCAAATGATAGTCTTGTAATTATGTGCTATGAGCATTAAACATCGTCCTGATGGGCGTCATCGAGTCATCTCTGTGGAGAAACCTCTCAGCCGTGCCAGATGACAGTCGCAGGTCTCAGCTGCTATTTCTGCCCTCTGGGTCACAACGGTCTGAAACCTGGAGAGCTCAATGTAGACGTATCACGTGCAACAAGTCAGATATGAAGCAACATCTGCTCCAAGACATTTGCTTGGATCAAGGGGGGTCAGGTTGTCCTCTTGAGTTTGAGCAGGGATAAACGTAGCTATAAAGTATTCACATTTTTGGAACACTTTTTAGGCCATCTATACAAGTATTAGAGTTAGTCTTGTTGTTTAAACATGTGCAAAACAAAAAGAAAAACATCTGTCATTTATAGTTAATAAAATGAAACAACGGACTGCTTCAACTGACTATTTGACCACTTACATCCTGGGGAAGTGCTGCAAAGTTATCTGAACCAAAATTCATCTTCTTATCAACAAATTGTTAACATTTACATCTGCAGACTTGATTGATTGTATTGTACTTGTAAGAACCCTTTATTAACCAATCACGAACATATATACCATATCAGTAGTACACATGTACATCAAGTGATGTGTGTTAAGGGTGTGAAGTTACTCTTTAAAGATGGGGCTCTGAGAAATAGTGAAGGGGAGTTTGTATTTTCTGATGCAGCCCCAGCGCTGCAGCTTTACATATTATGCATTGAATAGATGACAAATAATCAACTACTGTATTTGCTCAAGCCCAACACACTTCATTTAATCACTGTCTCGGTCAATAAGAATGTATTTTAAAACCATGAGACAGAAACAGCCAGCGATTGCACTGATTGTATTGTCAAACAGCCAAACTCCTAATGCCAATACAAAGACATGGCCAGTGATGCTCTTTTAGCTTTCTATATGCACTTAATACATTCAGCCAATCACAGAAACAGCCAGAGTTCAAACCCCAAAGACTTCACAACGTCAGACAAACAACTAAATGTTGGCGTCAAAGGATTTCATCTATTGATAAATGGCCATTGTTGTATGAAGTAGACACTAGTAGACATTAGTAAATTAACCCATTCCTCCCCTCTGTTGGTTCAGACAGGTGGGCAACAGTGTCTGCCACATACAGACCCCAACCAACAGCTGAGAAAGCACACTTGTTCCTGCAGTGGAAAGATATTACTGACTTCACGCTGAACCGCATGTCTCCTGAACCCTTTGGCCTGGTATCTGATCTTTGGGGCTAAATTGGGCGACAGCCTGCTGCTATGGGCCTACTGTAAGGAATATTAATGTAGGTCTCAAGGTCCAGTGCTGCACTGTACAAGCACACTCTAGTATATTCAGCAAATAATTGTTCTATGTATTGTGTTTATGCTATAGCTGTATAGCTGTTGAAACAGGACGCTCTTATACTATCAGTATGAGATGTTAGTGAAAGTCTTGGTAGTAGGTCCTGGGTCCATTGAGTAGCGGTTTTGGACATTAAAATTATATCACATGGCCTTCATCGGCAGATAGGTTCATTTTCACTTTATACATGTTTTTTTTTCTGAGCATTTTTCTGAGCACTTAAAAGTTCAGTTAAAAAGTCAAAGTTCAGTTCAACCAAAGTTTGAGTCAACAATGGAGGAGATGTGATCAAAAGCTTCAAAATCTACTAGTTTTGTCAATTTTTTGAAACTCAAAACATCTACAGTCTATAGCATGTATGATCCATGACATTAATAGGCTGTTTGAGACTCATATTGGCTGATTACAGGTGCTCATCACGCATGCACTCTCTCAGTCCAAAGATGACGCCTCATAATAAAACATGACATGGCACCCTGCTGGCATGCTGACAGGACTTTCACCGCCCCTCAAATCTGATGCTCCACGCCACAACACGCACCGTTACTCCAGCAGACAAACGAGATAAAGGGAGACAATAATAGCACAAACTCAACACAGTGTGCTCTTATACTGCGTGCTAAATAGAAGAGAGCATGGCGCAGGGAGCGGGTGAAGATGACTCTGGATATTTCTGCCACGTTGGAGACCCCATTATTCCCTCTGCTCCACCACAATTAGCTCAACGTGACAGTCAGTTAGGAACTCGTGAGTAATAGAATCAACTTACCTTCCTCCTCTGGTCCGCAAAATGTCTACAGATGTTTAGTTGGTGACGGTCGGAGTCGTAGCCGCGGTCGTTCGGTCTCCTCCTGCCTCCTTGCCCCGCGCCACTCAGCTGCGCACAGCACCGTGACTCTTCCGGGAAGTCCTAATTAAGCAACACGGCGAACCTGAGAGCCACACGGCAGAGCAGAGACCAGCACCGTGACTCAGTGCCGCAGTATCTCTTCTGGGGCGGACGAGCTTTTACCTCGCACAGGCAGCATGGCAGCCTCAGACAGCCCTGCTAAAAATAGACGAGTTGTTGACGCTGCAGCGAAGTCTGCACGGGTCCCTACGGAGGGAATAGACCTGAACTTAACAGGGAAGTCCATCATCGTCTTCATCCAGTGAACTGGGCCAAGGCTTGACCCCCCCCCCAACCTGGAAACCCCCTCCTAAACATTATAGCATTATACTATCTGCTGATGTAGTTCAAAGTAGGCTATCGCATCCTGGATGCTGAGAGAGTTCAAACGTTGGGTCAACAGGTAGCCTACACAATAATGCCTCCACGATAAACAAAGTTTTAAGGAGTTATCCAGCTATCTAGTAGGCCCATTGCACTTTCATAAGCTTCTGCGATTTGAGATAGATATTTCTTAAAAAATGGTAAATAATTGGTGGAGCAGAGGCCAAGATATTTAGACTTTTAAGTTCCAAATTCCCCAAAACACTGACGCTTATCCATAATGCAACATGATTGTGTCTTTTCTTATGCTGCATTCACGCAATGTTGTCAGAATTGGAAGAAAATCCCCTGTTATGCTTATTTAGGAGTGTTCATTGAGCCTATTTGTTTCAGGTAGTTACAGCCACTGCTCACCTTGAAGTCACAGCAGATAATTATCCAAATTAGTTTTCTTTTAATGATTGTTTGAGTATTTTGCGTGCATTTTGTGCAGGAAACGAGAGAAGACGGTCACCGCCTTAGCCTCTTTGGCAACACGGCTCCCCTTACTTAGCTGTTTTTGTTGTGTTATGTATTTTTAGTGCTTTATTAACAAGTAAAACTACAAAAAAGTTGTCGTAGTCCCTTTTTTTTAAATTAGCTTAGGGTTTTATTTATATTCCGACTATGGCTGCAGTCCAGCAGCCTTTAGCAAAATGGCGACTTTGCAGCCAGCGGTATCTGAGATAGGCTTTCACTGCTGCTAGAAATCCCCAATATCACAGACTCCCCACTCGACTGCGCATAATTACAGTCTGAATAATACGATCTGAACATAGTATTGGAGCCCAGACACTCCCAGTCTGTTACACAGGCTCACAAGTAACTTTAACACCGATGACAGTTCTTATTATTCTTATTAGCGGTTCCTATAATTGATCTGGAAAGCTTTTAGCAGATTATTTAATATTTGTTAGCAAAGTTCCTAGTTACTTATAAACCCGTTGTGAATAATGTCTTATTAGAAAGTCGTACTGACTTTAGAAAGCACCTGACATTATAGGCTAACTGTTTTCAAAGAGTAGTACTCCCAATGACAGGTAAACTGATCTTGGGTGCCCTAAAGTCTCATCAGGACTCTTTTACAGCTCTACATCATCAGTTTAATGAAATAACAGCTTAATTTTGTTATATAATGAGGTCCGATGCTATGATGACAGCTGATTTCACCCTAAAGGCCTTGCTGCATCCATTGCTGTGTCATGATCTACAGTTTCATGTTTCACCAGGGACCAAAATACTCCCTGGAGCCGAATAAAAGACTGCAAAGACAGGACAGCGCACTCTTTATAACATGACTTATTGATTAGAGAGTGGATGAATCATTGATATACTGACTCCTGAGAGACTTTATTATGTGTCAGATGTATCAATGTAAGCAATGGGTGTGACTGTAATGTGAGTGTTTCAAATAACGTCTTCCCAAGAAGACGGTTTCACAATGAGGAGTGGCGCAGCATCTGGTATGTGTGATGTGTTTGTTGCCTTGCAGTCAGAGAAGTAACACACACACACACACAAGCACACTCACACACACACACACACACACACACACACACACACACACACACACACACACAAATACATGGAAACTATTGGGACCCAAAGTGTTTAGTATTAAATAAATATATAATTTCATGAATAAATTGTGTGAAATATGTAAATTAAATAATTTCAGAAATTGTTAATATTAATTTAATAAGAAAATGTATTTTATCACACTGGGGGTTTTGTCTCAATAAAGTTTTATTTCATGTTGCTTTTCATCATAGTGGTGTTTTACTTGGATCTTATGCTGCCAAGCTCAACAAATGCTACCTGATTTAGCCAGTTAGCTCTGGCTAGCTCGAGCAACAACAATGCAGAAGTAGATCTTACAGTCAAATGCTATAAATACACAAAGTACACTGGGACAATAACTAAACTCTACTTTTGTTTAACAAGGCTGCTCATGCAACCCACCTGGCTGGCTAACTAACATTAGCTAGACTGGGTTGTGAGCTTGGATTCTCACTGCAAAGTGAGGAGACAGTGTTAGCTCCACTTTGACGCAGAGTAATAATCAAAGCTCACAACTACGCTAGATAGTTAACATTAGCAGCCTTGATCGAAGGCCTTGATAAGCTAAATTAAGGGAGAGGCAGTCTCTGTCTCTTGGGGTGGGGGTGTTTTGATATTAAAATGTCTGTAATGAAGTAAAAATGATATCAAATGAAATCTGTAATTATGAAAATAGGAATGATGAAATAACGTTTCATAATAATGAGCTAGGTTTGAATCATTTTGAGTAATTTTTCTTTTCCTTTATTTATTTATTGGTTTATTTGAACGGGACAGTGCACATTAATAAAAACATTTCTGCAAATGTGCCAAAAGGCTATTTTCCATCTGTAGTCCCTAGTCCTTGGTTTACTTAATTACACAATGCATTTTGTGTTTATTTAATATTGAACACCTCCATACATAGCAGGCACAGAGGAAATGTGAATTATATTTGTATGTATAGAAGGATAAAAGGCCACATATGCAGAAAGATCACATGAATGTGTCCAGGAAAAGATCAAACAGCTCCTGAAACCTCAGTTTAATTGCACTCTTAATGGAAAGAAATGTCACCAAGCTTTTGAAATATAGAACGTTTTATTCCAATTTTAAGTAAATGGTGTTGAAATTCTGAAGTAAATGTTTTAATATCAACAGGACCTTTGCATTTAAAGAGAAACACTTTACATGCCTTCATCCAGTGACAATGAAAAGCTTCCTTAAAAAGTTTTTTTGTCATTTATTTTTCATATTTCCCTTGTAAGAAATAGTTCAAGTATAAAAATTCCCAACAGTGTAAAATAGCCCATCTGATGAATATTAAGCAAAAGAAGCACAGCTACTGAAACCTTGACGACGACTATACATTCTAGTGGAGAAAGCAGCATTTCCGCTTGTTTTTTTGTGAAAATTATTATTTCTTTCCTCTCATCTAAACACAGAAGAGGCAGAGTACAATCTGCACGCAAACAGGCCTGCATTTAAATAAAGCTTCTTCCCTACAAAAGGCATTAGGCTAATATTTAACGTCATGTTCTAAAGAATCGAAAAGATAAAAAATAAAAGTACAGTGCACATAACAGTATCTTAAATAACTCCTACAATGACATTTTTGGTTGAGTATGTTAATAATAATTATAATAATATAACTACACTAATCAATAACTTATATATGCCTTGAGATGAGTACATAATAATATTATTTATACAGTACCACAACTAAGTCTCTACTCTCAGAGTGTCAACATAGTCAACCCTCAAAAATAAATATGTTAAATAGTAGATTTCTCTCTTTTTTCAGTTTTTTTTTCTCTTAAATAGCAGTAAAAATGTAAGGCACAAAGACCAACATAACGTCAAACAGTCAAACCCCCGTCCTCTCCACCCCACATGGTGAGCTTGACAGACACGAGGCAGACCAGTTGTTGGGGTGGCTTTGGTGATAGTGTGTGTGTGTGTGTGAGTGTGTACCTGACACCAGAATACAGCAGCACAGAGGTGGAAGTGCTGACAGCTGCAGGGCTGCATGGCTGGTGGGGTGGGGGGTGGCTCTGCTGTGGGGCTCTGTGTTGGGTGGAGGGGTGTAAAGTTGGTTCCCAAATGGGCCCAGCCGGGGATTAAAATGTGACAGCTCAACAAACCAGCACAAGTGATGCGTTCTTTCCAGAGGGATCCGTCTGTGTGGCGCTGGAGCGGCTCTGTCCACCCCCACCAGCAGCTGCTCTCTCCCTCTTTCTTTCTCCTTTTCTTTCTCTCCATCCCAGAGCCAGAGAGAAACACAACTGTGCGGCCTTTGTCTTTGACTGCTATGTGTGCAACTCTGGATGCATGTGTCTGTGTACGTGTGAGTGAAACATGTGGAAAAGCGACTGATTTAGTGTTTCTCATTGTCTGGAGCCATTTTCAACCTCTCTCCTTTTGTCAGTGCGTTTGTTTTGTTTGCCAAGTCCCCCTTTAGTCCAAGAATCAAGACAGAGTTGATGACATTTTCAGTTTTTTGTTGCTTTTCTTAGTTTTTTTTTTTTATCTCCTGGTGATTTGTTTGCTTTGCATAGGTCAAGAGGTCGAGGCACAGAGTAAAAAAAGGGACATTCAGCTTCAGGAAGATAAAAGGTAGTTCTTCAAATATGTGTGACACGACGAGTTACGACTTCCTGACAGAGGTCACATAGTAATAGCTAACACGTTGGAAACGGTTCCATTTCCCTGATTATCAGAAAAAAATGCACTTGAAAGGACAAAAAGAGCAAGAAAAGCCCCCAATGTGTAATAATAACAATAATAAATATAAATGTTATGAGGGCATCAAATAACTGAAAACACTTGTGAAAAACCACAAGTGAAAAAAAAGAGAACAGTTTCCTAAACTAACGTTAAAGACAGCAATAGGACTTAAAGGCTTAGTTTAACACCTATACCAACCTCAGGGATTAGTTCCTGCTTTCTTTCTCTAGAAATAAGTACTCTACCACAATGATAATAGTAATGATAATAATAGTAATAACAACAACTATAATAGTAAATCACTTTTCATTATTTGTTCTGCGACTTTTTTTCATTTTCTTGTTTTTTGGTTGAAGCACAGCAAGTTGGAAAGTTACTGTAAAAAGTTTCCACCTCACCATCATCATCACTACCACCACCATCATCATCATCATCACCTTTTTAAAGCTACTCTGCCTCTAAGTCGCTGACACGCCCACCCTTAAGGCCACTCCCTCTTCCTTTTCCGTCGCTGCTCCTTCTCGTGACCAATCAGATGTG